CACACACACACACACACACACAGCTGACATTATCCAAACCCTTAAGATTATGACATTACTCTATCCCTGGTTTGCATTATGTGATTGTCATTCCAAGGTGATATATAAATCTGTGTTTACCAGAGGCAATAATCTCAACAGAAATCTTACTCATGAGATCACAGAGCTGATACTGATCATCCAGCTCCTGTAATCACATATTTTACAAGGAGAACACATGACAAGATTGAGGGACTTTGAGAACAGATGCTGAGCTCTTAAATGGAACAAATGCAAGTTTGTGTATTTCTGATTATTTGGCACAATTCACATCAACGTGTGATGGTTCCAAGATACATTTCTGACCTGCTCCCTCACAGAGCCCGGCCACCTCAGGTTACCAAGCATGTGTCATGTACAGAGAATCAAAACTAAATCAGGTGGAGGTGCATTTAGTCACTGAAGTTTTTCTCTGATCTGAGATCTGCTACTTTATCTTCTTTTAAAAGCAAACTTCCAACATTTCTTTTCTCTTGGGTTCATAGTTAGTATTGTGTTTGTGTGAGAGAAAGAATAAATATTTCAGGTTATTTTATTGGAGTATCAACATGTATTTTCTATGTCTATTTGTTTCATGATTTCTGTGTTTTACTGCAAAGCACACTGAGCCTTCCTCTGAATGAAATGTATTATACAAGAATAGATTGAACCTGATGTGATTAAAAGAGAAAATAAAAGACAAAGTTTTCGTCTTATTGACAGATGAGTGGATTGTGACCAAACTGAGCTCCAAGAACCCATTGAATCTTTCAAATGACTTGATCGGCTCAAGAAGATTAGATGATCACTCACCTTAAATGGGTTTTAACTGCCAGATATCTGTCGATTGCGATGGCGAGAAGGCTGAAGATGGAGCTCTGTGTCAGTACCAGGACAAAACAGGCCAGGAAGAGGCATCCGTAGAAGTCCAGGTGGATGCCGATGCTGATGGTTATGGCGAAGGGGACGGCGAGGCAACCGACCAGGATATCAGCCACGGCCAGAGACACCAGAAAATAGTTGGTGGCGTTCTTCAGAGTGGTGTTGATGGCGACAGCCCAGCAAACCAGCACGTTGCCGGATATGGAGAGAACAGCAATCACTACTTCAATCACGATGTACAGCGTATTCATCTCAGCTAAAGTGTGTTCAAGGACTAAAAGCTGCTGTTCACACAGAAGACGAATCACCCCACGACACCGGCTCTAGTCCCAGAGGAGTAAAGAAGTCTTTCTGCTGTAATCCAGGAATATTCCACAAGTGTGAGCTGCACGTTCAGCCATCTGCAGCAGAGAGGGGACTTTACTTTACAACGATGCTGAGGAAAACAAGCAGCAATTCACTGTGGCTGCATCACAAAGTTGACAGAAGCTGCAGTAGCTGCATAATTACTCACGTATAAAGTCACTGGATTGTATTTTTCACTCACCTTAATGAACCTGCACATCGTCTCTGGAGGTTTTCGGCGGCATCTGTGGCTCTGTAGCGCAGACACAGTGTCACACAACTTTTCCGCCACTGCAGTTTCCAAGTGGAGGGAGAAATAGAAGTGCATGTGTGTGTGCGTGGGGCGGGGGTGGGGGGAGAACTGATTTCACAGAAAAGCCACTCCCCAGACCCAGACACATATATACACCACACGCATGCACACACACACACGTCGCTGATAAGGGTGGAATCCCTGCCTAGCGTCACCGCTCCCCCGTGCGTAATTACGCGCTCACACAACATCTAACGACGCCCCCACGTGCTTCGCCGTTTTATGTAAACGATCTCTTGTGTGTACAACACACACTGTAGCACCTGCAACACTCGTGCACGCGCCTGCATCTGGGTTCAATCAGGCCTGAATCGTGGGGGTTTTGCCCCCGACACCAGAGTCCGGGGAGGAAAACACTCGATGCGCAAACCTTTATTTTTTTTAGTGTTTGAGGATTCTTACTGAACTTCCGCTGCATTCTGACACAAACGCACAAGACAGAAGTCAGAGCAGCAAGATGTTTGCATATGGAAATCCGTGTCAAGCAGAGCAAAGGCGCGTAATGTATCTGAAATGATTTGTGGCGTTATTGCTTTGCTGATGATCCTTAAAATAAATACCGGACAGACTCAGTAAAGTTTTCTTCCAGCCTTTGTTTTGTCTTTTTTAATCTAACTGTGCATCAGATATTATCTCATAAGTGTTACTTCATGGGTAGTTTACACGTGCTGCCAAGTGTGACTGAGGTGCGCTGTGAAAGACAGGCAAAAGTTTTCCAAACAGTCCGACACACCCAAATGTTTTCAATCCCATGGCACAGTCAGGGCTTGAAAAGACACAGTGGGAGAGCACTTTCACCTGGGAATAGATTTAAAACAGTCTATGTTTAAAACACACAGAGGCTGCTACATTCCCACAAGAGCTTTACATCTGTGTTGAAACATTACCCCTGGAATAATAAAACAAGAGAAGGTTGAAAATAAAACTTCACCATCCTTTATTGAGTATTCTTCATCCAGCATGGCCCCCATCTGATATCTGTAAACAGAACACTGTGTGCATGTGTGCCCACATTTACACTTTCAGGATGCATGTCTAGTAAATAAATAAATAACACTTTTAATCTTGCAAAACATAGGTGTCTGCAAACGGAGGCTTAATGTGCACCACACCACAGAGAACACGTTGTGCCTCAGATCTTACAAGTAAAAGTCACCGTCTCCATTATTTAACATGGCATGCGAAAAATAGAGACATATATTTTGTAAAGCAGCTGCAGTACCGTCGCTGTGGAGAACTTTAGATGGAGAATCAAGGAACAACAGGAGGGTACAGCAAACATAGAGATCAATCTGTTTTCATAAAAAATACTTCTACAAAACTATTCAGCAGCTCTCGTAGTAATAAATCATTTTAGTGTTGACAGCTCAGGTTTGCTCTATTTTCTAGTGACAAACCACAAATAAAGAAAATATAAAGTCTTCAGCTCAACTCAAACTTGTCAGTTTAAAATACTCTCAGCTCTGCAAAGTACAACTCCAGCTAGTTTACAATGAGAAGTCAGCGTTGATTCTTTTCAGCAAACGGAAACCAAATCTCGCAGAAGTCGGGTTCACACTGGTTGTAGTCCAGACTGCACATTGTGCAGTGAGAGGGGACTTCACGCTGAGACAGAACACCACACTTTAACCATGCATAGATAGTTTCATAGAAGTTGTGTTTTGGCACAAAGAAGATTTCCACAGAGCATTTGGGTCAAACAGCTCCAGTAATAAATGTCGGCGGCACAGGATGACGTCCAAAATCTACCCAAAAGTTTGATCTGAAAAAAAAAAGATTTTTTGTTTTCGACTGACAGCCAGTGTATGACAAATGTTTTTAAAAAAAGGATTTCTGTCATATTATTCTAAAAAAGTCTTTTTAAATCAATATTAATAATTCTGTCAGCTGCTTCCAAGCTTGAAAAGTATGTTGAACCGCACTCTTGTTTGTCTGTTTCCCTTTGTCCTTGACTCAGATGTTGAACTTGTAAGAATGACCATGGTGCTGTGTCTCCTGGCTGCACTGCTGCACTGAAATCAATCAAAGACAGATCCATTCCTCAACAATCAGAACTGTTCATCTGTCGGTTCTCTGGTGCGGAACAGTGAGCAGGAGAAGGGTTAACTTGGCAGCATTTGGTCTCTCTGTCTCAAAGGTGAATGTCGTGCTGACAGACGGGGCAGAAAAGTGCTGCAGTGCCTCTGGTCTTCATCGAGCTCCAGGTCCTCCTCTTCCTCACCGCTCAGGTCTCAAAGTACTTGTAGATCTGAGAGACGTACTGCATGACGCTCTGCCAGTCCGGCCTGTCGGTCTTCATCAGCTCCTCAATGTCCTGTTTGGGACAGAGACTGTGGTGAGTTATGGTCTCTCAGGGTTTGTAAAACAAGATTTGAGCTTTGCAAACAACAGACACACATCAGGCCAAAACATCTGGTGTCAAATCTGCACCAACAGTGTCTGATATTCAGTTTTTCATCTCAAATATTTGTAAAAATTTAAAGTTTTTTGTGATCATGAACACTATCATAATGAAGTCACTCCCGATAAAAAGCATTGGCCAATAAAAATGTATGTGACAGATTTTTGAAATTACAGCACGCCCATTTGTCCAATTTTTTTAAAATCACTGCAACACAGCAAGATCAGAGAATCACAGAGAGAACACAAAATAGCACAATTTACCATTGACTGAACTTCAGCAGCACCTTCGCAGAACTGTCAAATAAGCCATGGAAGTATAAATATCATAATCTTAAGTATTCTAAGAGCAAAGTACTGATGAAATCCTGAGACCAGACAGAAATATGCTTGGATGGTAGTGAGGTCTCAGAGAAATGTATGTTCTGTCTTTGTGATTTACATGACTGTTGGGAAGTTGATTCAGTCACGAGTAGAGGTTGTTTGACTGAACTATTGAGGTACTGCATTATTTCTCATTGATCCCATGAGAAACTATTCACTTGATCTAGATTTTTCATGTGGATCTGCACCAAACCGCACACATTCATAAATATCTTTGTATTTGTTAAATCAAGATCCATGAATTATTCTCTGAGAATCAACAAAAATGTTGAATTACACCCCATCTCACAATCTGAAAGAAAGTGATAAAAACCCTCCTGGACCTGCCTTTTTTTTTGCATAATCTTGGTCACAACCAAACAAACCAACACAGAAACAGAGAGGGAAGCGATGACATCATCATTTAGAGATTTGATGATTTAAACATTTGATTTGATTTTCAGTGTCCTGGGTGATTGGCTTGTGCAGGAGAAGTGGACGAATGAAAGAATTGTGCTTCTTAGAATCAACTGATTATTGCTCTTAGTGTTTCTGGAAATGTGTGAACTATATTAAAATATAATAAAAACTGTCATCTACAGTATCCATGTTCAGAAGCTTGATGAGAAACATCTTCCACCTAGACCCGTTGCCATTCATTCAACTTGTCCTAGGTAACCGTGACCTGGATGAATGAGAGTCTTCACAGATATGCAATCTGCAGTAATGGCAGACTCTGTGAGGCTGCGTTCAGCCGCTGGGAGACAAAAACGCAGTGTGACAGTGGTGAGTCAGATGCTGAAGTGGACTTTCACATGACTGTGGCGTCACAGACTCTTCTGTTAGTTCAGATGTTCACAGAAGCATCAGCACAGTCACCTCTTACGTCTCAGCCTCGTAACAGATGGTTGAGCTACTTCACTCTGGGCTGTGTCTGAGGCTTTTTTTACGCAGCAGATAGATGGATGAGAAAAATTGCATGATGGGAAGAGAGAGAGAGAGACAGTTAATGCCAGGTTCCAGGAAGTTAGTCCTCCACTGACATGGGAACCAGTCTACCACATCCAGTTTCTTAACCATAAGCACGTAATGGAGAAATAACAAGATAAAGAGAGGTGAACTTTGATCTTACTTCAAGAGCTCTGCCAAACTCACTTCTCTGCTGAGCTCCAGTCTGATTGAGAGCTAATGAGCTGTCTCAGGTTAAACTATCTAATTTATGTGTTTTACCTTGTTCCTTAAATCATGAAGCCATTATCAGAAGTGCAGAGCGAGACAAGGCGAGACGTAAAAGCGCAGAAAATAAACAGGAAGGAGAGGTCGCATTAGTTTAACCCCTAATGTGTGCAGAGTATTTTACATCCACTTCCAGCATACTTGAAACGATTAAAAGAGCCACCAGGATGCAGATGACTAATAAAAGCTTTCTTCCCATGGCTACAAGTGGACAGCAGATTATTCCTCTGAATCCTTGTTTTATCTGTTTTTTTCCTGGAAGTTGTGTGCATGAGGAATTCACTTGACCTGGTCAGAATTAAACTAAATTAAAATGTATTACCCACACGATATAATTATTCATATTTATATATTTATATTATTTATAAAAATGTTAAAGATTGCAAACAGCAATTAAAAATATATTTTCTGAGTTCGTCACACCACAGAGCAATGTGTTGTCAACCACCAAAGCAAAGTTGATAGCTTTAAATCTTTTTTATAGGTATATAAGATAAGGTTGAAAATCATGAGAAAATGATCAATATTCTGCTGATCTCACACAGCGCTCCCTAACTGGGCGTGGCTTTCACGGCTGGTGCCTTTGGGTGCTTTCGAAAAACCAAAACATTACATTTCCCAAAGCAAAGCAAGTTGTTTAACTGTTTTTTGACATATTTTGAATTAATTACACCTGCATCATTAAAAATGATCGTAATTGTTGTGTTCAATTATAGCAGCATATGTTCACATCTTTCGTACTGAGAAACTTGAACTCATCCCCTGCATGTGTGCTTTTGTGCAGGCACTAGCATGTGGTGCTAGCACCGGCCCTGCCACACCCACCAATCAACGGTGCACATACTCAGCATTTTCAACATGCACTTCCCTGATTAGCCGAGAGACAGACAGCCAGTCCAGCTGGACAGCAGGGTCTCTACACTATCATTATAGTTCATTCCTAGATTCAAATCAGATCAAACTTGTCCATGTTTGCGGCTGAAGCT